CATCCCTAAAAAGTAAAGTAATAGAGCATTTACTTCTACCATATATTGTAGGATTGTGTCACCTCAGGCCTCCCCAATAGAGATGCTAGCTTCCAGCTGTGAATAACCTGACTCTTCAATCTATCTGACTTATACGGTGAGTCATCTAACCGCACAGGTGTGACTGCCGGCACAGTCAAGTATTATGAAGCCCATCTACTTCAGGAAGTGTCTCTTTCAACTGGAGTTTCTTTCTGAGGGACTGGAGCAGTAGGGTGCTAAAAATTACTAAATTAAGACAAACTGCTTGAGAACCTTGAGCTGAGTGACTGACAGGGATAGAGATACGCACTAAAGCAATTAAATAATGGCAAGCCTTTAGCTTCCATTGAACTGCAAAAGACTAGACTGTTTAGGAGAGAGAATAGAAGAAGCAAATTTTTCACTACAAGCCAGAATTGCATGGCTCAAGGATTCGTAACTGGATATGAAGCCTTTCACCTCTGGATTACAAGACTGAATTATCCCAGTTCAAAAGTGACTGAAAGCTGTTAGGCTAAACAGACTATCAAATGTTTTACTTGCTAACTGAAGTCCCAGTTCAGTTCTCAGCACATCCATGTCATAAGCAATCCATTTACTAAAAAACTAATGACCCAGTATCTGTCTCTCAAATGCTCCTACGACTTTGCTGATGTCTTTAAAGTCTTTCCTCTCCCCAGCACTCTTCCTCTTCACCTCTCTTTATATCCAGCTTTGTTCTTACAGACACAAATAAATGATTTTTACTTGCTAATATTAATTTTATTTTTCTCTGGGTGATGTTTGTATTCCCTTCATATCTTTGTTACTGAGTAAAAATTCTTATAAACAAAGATTTAACAAACAAAAAAGAAAAAACAACTCATCCAAGTTGGTGCCTGCATTGTCAAGCTCAGCAGAGAAAGTCTACTGACTGAATGGAACCTGCTTTATTGGTACCCTAAAATTGTTGTCTCCAGTTCAGTACAGAGGCAATGTAGAGAAGCTGATAAAGCCATGGACCAGGTTGTGCCTTATGGATTATTTATAGGGCGCTGTGTCTGTCAAGGAGGTCACGGAAGTCACAGATTCCGTGACTTTCCGCAACCTCCGTGAGTTCTGCAGTGGCCAGTGGGCCTGACCCCAGCCCCTGGGACTGCTGCTCAGGTGGCCCTGGGACAGCCACGCTGGCTGCTACTGGAGCCGCTCCGCAGGCAGCCATTCGGACAGTCCCTCAGTCAGCTGCATCAGCCGCTGCTGGAGCTACCCCAGGGACTGCCCATCCCTGGTGCGGCTGGCCCAGGGGACCGACTGAGCACCAGTCCTGGGGGTGGCGGAAGCAGCAGCGGTGATGTGGCCCTGGGAGTGGCCAGAGCAGTCGCTGCTCTATGGCCTCTATGGCCTCCTCCCCAGTGCTGCAGGCTCTGGGCCCCCTCTGCCCCCCCCTAGAGAAGCAGCCCGCCACCATCCCCTCCCCCCTCCAGAGCAGCGGCTCCCCCGGGGGGTCCCCCCAGCTAAGATTTAGTCAGGGATATTTATAGTACAGGTCAAGGTCAGGTCACGGGGCTGTGAAGTTTTGTTTATTGCACGTGACCAGTTCATGACTTTTACTAAAAGTACCCGCGACCACATCACAGCCTTAATTATGTATTAATTTAACAGAGATGAAACCAATAGGATTCTACAAAAATGTAATAATGTTACACAGAAATTACTGTAAAAATCTACTGAATGTAACAGACAACATCCTTTATAGGTGTTCTGAAACAACTTATATCAAATTCTATCACAGGCATATAAAACTTTATTAAATTGTATAAGGAATTTACTTAGGGGCATGGCCTTCCTTAGGCATACACAGCATATGCGGCTGTGTAGGGCACCCAAAAATTTGGTGCACCACTGGGACCGTAGGCGCCAACTTCTCATCTTGCCAGGGGATGCTTGACCCCCTGCCTCCACTCCATGCCCCACCCCCACTCCACCCCTTCCCCCAAGCCTGTGCCCCTTCCCGCCCCTGCTCCACCCTCGCCCCGCCTCCTCCCCTGAGTGCGCCCCACCCCTGCTTCTCCCCCTCCCTCCCGGAGCTTAAACGCCACGAATCAGCTGTTTGCGGCACTCTGGAAGCACTGGGAGGGAGGGGGGGAGAGTTGGTAAGCGCTGGGTGGCTGGCGCGCGGCAGGTGTGGCAGGAAGGGGGAAGAGGGGCGCATGATGCAAAAATTTTCCCTGTGGGTGCTCCAGCCCCGGAGTACCGACCCGCGGAGTCTGCGGCTATGACTGGGACAGCAGGTAAGCGCGGGTCAGCTCCCATGCACACAGTGCACGCTGCAGTATCCTTACTAGGCAGAAGGCAGGGGCCGTATTCACAGAGCCAATAAAGGGGCACCAGTATTCACAGAGCCCAATGCACCGGCACAGGGACACCAGTTGCGCCAGCATAGGGACACCAGTTTAATAATACTACGTAGGGCCCCATAAATCCTAAGGACAGCCCTGCCTGAGGGGTAGCTGATCTGAGAGGAGAGCTCCAGTCTCTAGTGCTGTCAATCCAGAACTTTTCACAAATATTAAGTTTATTTTTTAAAAAGAGCTATTAAAAATAGGGATTAAAAACTGAATAAGAACAGTTGGCATGTCTGAATAGGGCATGCTCTATAGAAAGAATACAATATATGCCTGTAAAATTACAGCTTAAATGAACCAGGGCATGAGAGTGCTACCAAAAGGTTATTGGAAATATGAACTGAAAACAAATTTAAGTCAACAATGATATTTCAAGCATGAGGCCTTTGCCAGGAATGATTTGTACAGTTTGTTCTAACTATAACTTTTTGCTGAGGAGAGCCTCATGACCCTTGATATCTAAAATGCACCCTGAACACTAAGTTAACCCTTTTGCTTCACTGACAGCCCCTACACTCCAGCTCTTTCATTAGCAGTCCATTAGACCAGAGGTTAAACCAAAGCTGGATTTAGCAAGAACTCATTAGCAAGAAACCAGAACTGTTGGAGCTGCTTGTAGCTTTGGGAGTTGGGGCTCTTTCATTTGGGGCTCAGGAAATCCTAACTGCTGTTACCAAGGGATTAGCCTACAAAATGCTCAGTGATAGAGAGAACACTTAACTTGGAGATGAGGAACAGATTCACTGCACAGGCAGAAAATAGAACGCAAAGGCAAGCCAAGCCAAGGAAAAGAGAAGACATTGCAAAAGAAAGAGTCGGCAAGATATGCAGCTACCCTCTCCACTGTTAGCATCAGAGCACCTAGATCTTTGGCTCTAAGTGCTAGTGCGCTGATGTCTTGCCTCAGTAAACCAACATTGAGCACTGAAGATCTAAGGAAGAAAGACAAGGGGCTCAGTTTTCCCATTGCAGAATATGCAATAATTCAGTGGAAGTTATCTGTATCCAGATGCGGGAGAACAGGGCTGCACTGTATATGCTAAATGTTTTTGGGCAGCTATTAGTTTATGACATTCCTAGTGGGGAGGATGGAAGGGAACCAGACAAAGGGCTCAGAACTATGATCTGAGGTAAGCTGAATTTTGTGATGTGTTTTGCTAATAACGAAAGCTAAAGAAAAGGGAATCAACAAGCATTCTTTAGCTGAGAAGTCGCTTAACAATTCAAGCCAACGAACAAACAGATGTGATAGGATATGGGGAGAAGGGATTTCTCCGGCTTCCCTTTACAAATAAATCACTGTTCTTGCATTCAGACATTTCCTTTGACCACTATATATGTGCAGTTCTTATGACTTTGCTCATATGTCTGGTCAAGTTTTTTTAAAATGTTTGGTCCTATCAGTATTGAAATACTGGTTTGTTCCCTAAGGAAACCTCCATGAATCCCTCCCACTTCCAGTCAGTTTTAGCTGTGTGGGGCCATCAAAATCATAATTACAATTTTCAAGTTCTTGATAGTGTTTTAAAAACTACACAAGGTAAATTATTCTAGCCTTGCTTTTAATGACCCAATAATCTTATCTCAAGACAACTCAATCAACTACTACTGAAGTTATCATCTGAGAATAGATACTAAATAAGGAAGTGTCAACAAAACCACAGTACCAGTGAGACTATGTTGATGCCAACACATTATGGAACCAAAGCTACGGTGCACTGGAGACTGAGGGGCAGGGCGTGTGTGTGGTGTCAATCTTCAGAGTAGTACACACAGGGATTTAGCCAACATGAATGGGAGTAGTTCCAACTAAATTCTCATGGAGTCATTACCCCTGAACATATCTAAGGAATTTAGTCAGTATCCTTTATCAGCCCTCTTCATTCTTCCTGTTCTATTAAATGTTTACCATGCTATGTCTATAATACAAGTGAGATTCTTGCTTATTCTTCCAGATAAAATAATTCTGAAATATTGGTAGACTGAAAAGGACAAAAGATTATTGGGTTTTGTGCAGTGAAGATTCTGCCTATAGCAACAGGATAAAAATGCTAAATAAAAAAGCAGATATGTTCCTTGTACCAGAAGTAATCATAGTGTGTACAGTGTGCAAATCTGTGAACATGTCTATCTGGTTTTCAATTTAATATTCTGAGATATTTAGGACCCTCTGTATTTCAGCATATTTATGCAATCTGACTTTCAAGAACATGTCAAGGAACAGGATTACAAAAAAATTTCTGTATAATTGCAGCAGCAGAAACAAAGCAGAGGCAGGAATAAGAAAATTTGAAAATACTTCAAAATACTTTTGATGTCCCTTTCTGTTTCAGATTAACATCTCAACAAAATTAGAGCACATAAAATTTATACAACTGCACTAAAAAGCTATCAGCCCCTTCAGTGCATTCACCGATAACAAAAAACAATTGTCTCTAGATGCAAAGTGTTTTTTAAATTGACATTTGTTAAAAAGACTAGGTTGCAACAATCTGTGCTGATCTACCTAGAGAACTTGACCCAATATGGTGCCAGTGATATGAAGCCTGTTTTCATTAAGGAAACATACGAGAATAAAGAATATCTTGCACTTACGTGTTCTTCTGAAGCATAAAGGACTTCCATTAGCCTTTGGACAAGGTCATTATTTTCTTGCCCATGTTCTTGGCAGAGAAGTTCAATCTCCCTTAATTTTCCAAAGTAGAAATCCCTTTCCTTCTCCACGCCTTCGAGTGCAAGTTTTAATGAATGTACCTGTAAATAAAACATACATGTTCCAATAACAGGAGCACGGCACACGCGATCTGTGAGCAGATTATGAGTGAGTTTTGCCTACAGTGCAGGACAGTACATAACAGGCATAACCTTAATATATATACTTTTTTACAAGTCTTTAAACTTAAAAGTGCATTTTGTAGTTGTTAAAGGTGCTAGACTGTCGGAATAAGGAAATCCTTGTTCACAGAGCAGCATGGGCAAAAGAGTGTAGATTTCCCCATACTACCCATCAAGGCACCTCAACCCTCACCCCGGAGGGACCATTTTTACAGAATGTTTCAGTGCTGTGGTAATACATATCAATAGCAAGCTCCAATAACAGAGTGGCTCAGGAGCTATGACTAAAACCTGGCCCCCTGTTGAGACTGCTATAAGTGCCAAGCTGTGCCACTTGCCATGGCAATTTCACAATATTCATAATGGCTGCATTTCTACTTTGGCTGAATTAATGTACATTTGTTGTAAGTATTGTTTATCCTAAAATTTATCTACTCCTTAAAAATATTTAGCTGTGTCTCTTATGATAATTTTTTTAGTTTTCTGTCAATCCTGCTTTGGCAGAATAATGATCAGGTGACCTACTATATGTTAAAAAAAAATCTTTGAGTGCGAATACTGTGTGTGGCTGCTTATACCTTTCTTCACTTGTTTAACTGGTCTGGTGCTGGGTTTCAGAATTCTCTTATGCTGGCATAAAATATAGTGGTAGTTCTGAAATACCAGCTTTCAGGTGATTGATCCAGGTGCTCCCTAATGGGGTTCTCACAACAAATTTTTTGGTGACCTCAGAGAGCGGCCATCAACTCTTGCTGGTGGCCACTCTGACAATTTTTCCTAAAATACTTATTTAACTTTAGGAAAAACAAATAAATATGCATATATACATGTCCAAATCATTATAATTTATTTATGTAGGGTTTTTGTTGTTGTAAACGCAACAATAAATACAATTGTCTCTATTCTTTACTGGACCTACACAGAATAGAAACACAAATTCATGTTTTTCATGTTCTTCTCTTTTGATGTGGTGGTGGTTTCTTTTGCTTTTTTGGTTGCTTTTTTCATTAGACTTTCTAGCTAGTAAGTCTGCTGCTGTGAAAAGTGATATTTGTATGTTATATATATCATCACTTTTCACAGAAGCAGACTTGCTAGCTAGCTGGAAGGCAGTGAAAAGTGATATGAACAGACATACAAATATTACTTTCCATAGCAGATTTACTCAGCCCCGGCAAGCTAGGGGATAAATTAAGCACTGGATGGAGAGGTGGGTAGGGAGGCAGTGAGGGCCAGGGATGATGGAGGGGTTGTGAGCCCAGGGCCAACACCCACCACCACGCAGCTGGGGCCAGAGTACCCATAGCTGGAGCCTGCTGCCTGCTACCCCACAGCTGAAGCAGGAAGCCCAAGCCCCACGGTTCCCAGGAAGGTGGCGAACTCATACTGGCTGGCTGATCCTCTGGCACTTGTGACTCCAGAGGGGGGCAGGGCTGAACCCCTGCTGATGGCCTCGGGGGATGAGCCACTGTGCTTCCCCCCACTCAATCACCGCCCAGGAGGCTGTGGCCGGAAGAAAAGCCCATGATGGCCGCATGTGAGAAAAGCTGAAACTGCTCAAGTTTCAAAGTACTTCTCTTAATTGACACCTGCACATGAGAATCTAGTTCCAAGATACACTTTTCCAGCTCTGTTTCACCACTATACCTGTTGCACTCATTTGCGGTTTATTCTGACTGTATTAAAATAACAGGTTTCACATAAACTAGAACAGAGCCCTCAAATACTTTTTGAAAGAATAACTTTGTGTAAACAAAAGTCAAATTACAAATATCTTAGCTGCTGTATATTTAACTCTACAATAACATGTTACCACTTCCTTCCAGATAGCGAAGTATATTGACCATCACCAAACTCCAAATCCAACTACAGATCCCTAGGACTCTACTATTAAACCTCTTTCCATGGTGAAAATAAGTTATGTTTCATTATTCCTCCTATCACAAGTTTTAATCCATGAGGACAGACTTAACTCTCAAAATGTTACTGGATTCTTCATAACAGGGAAACATATTTATCAAGATACCTTTTAAACTCTAAATATAATATAACAGACATACAATTCTTCTTTCATTCTAAATTCTCGTGTTAGAGGGACTAGAATTTTTCTTATAAACCATGCAGCTATCTGTATTCAAGTAAAACTGTAATATGCATATTCAAGTACAACTAGCTTTAAGGCAGCTCTCACACTGCAGTATGATTCACCCAAAATCATCCTTAGCATCTTTTTAAAATATGGGTACAACATTGGCCATCCTGCAGCCAACTGCTAGAGCAGCATGTTTTTAATGACATCACTTTTGTGTTCATAGCTGAGCTATTCCATTTGTTAGATCCTTCACCACTGTGAAGTGAATATAATCCAGACTGGAATCGGAAGTTAATTTTTCAGTTGTTCAATGTTTTGCTCTGTCTCAGTACTTTTACTATCAGTATACAGTAATCTTCGTTTTCATGACTTTTCATAGCTTTCCTAGTGCTTCTGATAATGAGGGTCCTAACAAATTCACGGCCACAAAAAACACGTCACGGACTGTGAAACTGGGTTTCTCCCCATGAAATCTGGTCTTTTATGTGCTTTTACCCTATACTATACAGATTTCACAGGGGAGACCAGCATTTCTCAAAGTGGGGAGTTGCAGGGTAAATCACAAGGCTATTTTAAGGGGATCACGGTATTCCCACACTTGCGCTTGCGCTGCCTTCAGAACTCGGCGGCTGGAGAGCAGCGGCCGCTAGCCGGGCTCCCAGCTCTAAAGGCGGCGCCCTGCCAGCAGCAGCGCAGAAGTAAGGATGGCAATACCATACCATGCCACCCTTACTTCTGCGCTGCTGCCTTCAGAGCTGGGTGCCCAGAGAGTGGCAGCTGCTGACTGAGGGCCCAGCTCTGCAGGCAGCAGCACAGAAGTAAGGGTGGCATGGTATGGTATTGCCGCCCTTACTTCTGTGCTGCTGCTGACGACAGCTCTGCCTTCAGAGCTGGGATCCATAGACAGCAGCCGCCACTCTCCAGCTGCCCAGCTCTGAAGGAGGAGTCACTGCCAGCAGCAGCACAGAAGTAAGGGTAGTAGTACCGCCACCCCCCCACACAATAACCCTGCGGACCCCCACCCTCCACAACTCCTTTATGGTTCAGGACCCCTACAGTTACAGCACCTTGACATTTCAGATTTAAATAACTGAAATTCACGATTTTTTAAAACCTGTGTCCATGAAATTGACCAAAACGGACCATGAATTTGGTAGGGCCCTACTGATAACTAATTCTGCGGTTGAAGCAAAGTTACCTGTTCACTGAGTTGTATGACTTGTGTTTCCAAATCTTTATCTGATTTGGATGCTGAGCTGCTTGGTGTGGCTTTTTTTGCTGACGATGGACGAGAAGGTGTGGACCCTGGTTTAGAAACTGGACTGGATTTAGCAGCACCTGAAAGCACAAGAATAAAATTGATTTGAGAACACTCTTTTAAAGATCAGATTTAAGTATTTATGCCCAGTGTAAGTATTATACTCCCAATAATTTGAATTTTTACCCCTTCCAGATACAGAAAAAAGGTATTTAATTTGTATATGACCATTAGTGCTGTTACTTCCCGGTTTTAAGTAGAAAGATGCAAAATATTGAAAAGGAAAGTAAATACCATAACAAGAATGCTTCTTTCAGTTTAAAAGGACAAAATACCTCACTGATACGCAAAGAAAGGTGAATAAATAACATAATTTCTTTAATTACTACTACTTTACAGTTTTAAAGATGACACTGGCAACAACTAAATCATTTAGCTTAACAGTTAATATTTATTGATTTTAAAAATTTACTGGAGAAAGGCAAGTTGATTTAATTTGTGGTGATTTTATTTGTAAGTCTATCTGCTTCTATGCTTTAAAATGGAGAAGAAACTAACACCATTACTTGTACAATCACACTGAAATTCAGCAGATGCAAACTGAATTAAATCCATCAGTGAGCACTTGATTGCAGCAGTGGCCAAAAGATAACGTTTCTGATCAGCTTAGGAGGTTTTTGGTACTTCATGTGAAAAGCAAAGCCGATAACGTACCCAAATGTACAGCAACACTTTTGCCCACAGAAAACACCACTCACACCAAGCACCGATAGATACTCTATTTTCACAAGCATCAAGCATGCACAAATGCTTAAGTATAGACACAGGAAAATGCAGTGCTAATGCCATCTTTCTACGCACCCTAAGGCTGACAACTGATATGATGCCCTTCCCTTCTCCGTTCCCTTCTCCCCTCTCTTCTTTAGGGTTTGAGTGAATACTAAAGTCCCAACTGGGCTCTGAGTTTATCATTCGTGGAAGGAGATGTCCAAGCTTCACATACTGTAATTAGCAGCATCCACTCCCAAAGCACAGGATGTCCCACTCCAATTATTCTTCAGAAGAGACCACCCACTTTATGGTCTCAATGTGGCATAAGGTTACCAGTTTTTAAACAAAAATGACTGAGCAGAATTAAAAAGCACAGAAATGAACTCCCTAGACCTCTCTGCCAACCTTAATTATATTTAAGGCTTGAGGAGGAAAAGTTAGGCTTGTTAGATTGCCCATTTTCCTTTAAGGAACAGAGTAAAGAGTAAAAGCCTAAGGAACTCAATCCACAAATTAGCTTTGATGTAGCAAGACTCCCCCTCCCATCACATACACTCAAACCCCCCACCCCCCGCAAGATGTCCTCAGGCTTCTCGGTCAAGAAACTCAAAAGCTGATTGGGAGGAATTGCAACGATCGGTGATTCAGTCAAGCTTGTTAGGTTCTTGTGATTTAGTCACAGACTACACTGGCTACTGTACAAAGAGTTGTCTTTTCTCATCACTTTATATTCTCTAGTGACAGCCCTGAGAGTATAAACAATTACACATTTCATCTGCTTTTAGTGGGCACCATTTTGGCTAAAATTCCACCATACTTTTTCATATTTGTTACAAATAAAATTATTGATATATCTGAAAGGTACCTTGCCAACAGAAAGTTAAAACTCCAGTCTGGCCAAAATATAGCATCTTCCATCCTGAAGTTACAAGTTACATACATGGACTACATCACCCCTTGATAACAGAGTTCAGGTACGGTATACAGAGTTGGTAAAGATGAAATTTACACTGTTCGTATGCCTAAAATTACTTATTTTTTTGAAAGAGCACTTAGTATCTACAGATGTCATCAATCCAGCTCTTTTCTTGAGCAATAAAATTTGGTTCATGAGGCTAACATGAACCAATACACACTAACAGTGCCCTACTGCTCTTACACAAACAAAACAGTAAGTCTTTTTGGTAAAGTACTCTGACAATAGAGTAAGATCTGTAGTTGCCATTTTTTCCTTTGTCAGAGACCAGCAGATCTTTGTGTATAATCTTCACTAACATTTTCCCCAAGGGCCTGATCAATACTTTAAATACAACTGAAACCACAACTCATTAAAACAAATCTTTTGTTAGGATCCCAGAATCTTACTCTGACATTTAAGTGATCCATGCATCCCATGTGACAATAAGCTTCATTTTTCATACAATAGCATTTATATACACATCACCACCATATACTTTACATACGTAGACTAGTTTCAGAGTAACAGCCGTGTTAGTCTGTATTCGCAAAAAGAAAAGGAGTACTTGTGGCACCTTAGAGACTAACCAATTTATTTGAGCATAAGCTTTTGTGAGCTACAGCTCACTTCATCGGATGCATACTGTGGAAAGTGTAGAAGATCTTTTTATACACACAAAGCATGAAAAAATACCTCCCCCCACCCCACTCTCCTGCTGGTAATAGCTTATCTAAAGTGATCACTCTCCTTACAATGTGTATGATAATCAAGGTGGGCCATTTCCAGCACAAATCCAGGGTTTAACAAGAACTCCAGGGGGGGGAGGGAGGGGGAGAAAAAACAAGGGGAAATAGGTTACCTTGCATAATGACTTAGCCACTCCCAGTCTCTATTCAAGCCTAAGTTATTGTATCCAATTTGCAAATGAATTCCAATTCAACAGTTTCTCGCTGGAGTCTGGATTTGAAGTTTTTTTGTTGTAATATCGCAACTTTCATGTCTGTAATCGCGTGACCAGAGAGATTGAAGTGTTCTCCGATTGGTTTATGAATGTTATAATTCTTGATATCTGATTTGTGTCCATTTATTCTTTTACGTAGAGACTGTCCAGTTTGACAGTATGTACATGGCAGAGGGGCATTGCTGGCACATGATGGCATATATCACATTGGTGGATGTGCAGGTGAACGAGCCTCTGATAGTGTGGCTGATGTTATTAGGCCCTGTGATGGTGTCCCCTGAATAGATATGTGGGCACAGTTGGCAACGGGCTTTGTTGCAAGGATAGGTTCCTGGGTTAGTGGTTCTGTTGTGTGGTATGTGGTTGCTGGTGAGTATTTGCTTCAGGTTGGGGGGCTGTCTGTAGGCAAGGACTGGCCTGTCTCCCAACATTTGTGAGAGCGTTGGGTCATCCTTCAGGATAGGTTGTAGATCCTTAATAATGTGTTGGAGGGGTTTTAGTTGGGGGCTGAAGGTGACGGCTAGTGGCGTTCTGTTATTTTCTTTGTTAGGCCTGTCCTGTAGTAGGTGACTGAAACCTGTCATTATGCAAGGCACTGCATTTAGCCGTATGGAGTGGAAATCTATCAACTGCATGAAAAAACTTGTACAGATACAGACAGACATCTTCCTTTCCAAATGCAAACAGATGGACATTTTACCAAAAGGACTGAAAGTAAAAAATCCATTACAATCTACATACCACACAGACTATGCTGACAGCTTGTGCCACACTCTCTCAAAGAAACTGCGGAACGACCTGATCAACATCCTCTACAGCAAACAGGGAAAGATTAAGAATGAGCTCTCAAAAATGGATACTCTCATAAAAAACCAACCTTCCACACAAACTTCCTCGTGGCTGGACTTTACTAAAACTAGACAAGCCATTTACAACACACACTTTGCTTCTCTACAAAAGAAAAAGGACACTAAACTTTCTAAACTACTACATGCTACAAGGGGCCACAGCAATGGTTCCCTCAACCCACCCAGCAATATTGTTAACCTATCCAACTATACTCTCAGCCCAGCAGAAGCAGCTGTCCTATCTCGGGGCCTCTCCTTCTGCCCCTCCACCCCCACGAACATGATACAGTTCTGTGGTGACCTAGAATCCTATTTTCGATGTCTCCGACTCAAGGAATATTTCCAACGTACCTCTGAACAACATACTAATCCACAGAGGTCTCCCTACCAACACTACAAAAAGAAGGATTCTAGGTGGATTCCTCCTGAACGTCGAAACAGCAGACTGGACTTCTACATAGAGTGCTTCCGCCGACGTGCATGGGCTGAAATTGTGGAAAAGCAGCATCACTTGCCCCATAACCTCAGCCGTGCGGAACACAATGCCATCCACAGCCTCAGAAACAACTCTGACATCATAATCAAAAAGGCTGACAAAGGAGGTGCTGTTGTCATTATGAATAGGTCGGAATATGAACAAGAGGCTCCTAGGCAGCTCTCCAACACCACTTTCTACAAGCCATTACCCTCTGATCCCACTGAGAGTTACCAAAAGAAACTACAGCATTTGCTCAAGAAACTCCCTGAAAAAGCACAAGATCAAATCCGCACAGACACACCCCTAGAACCCCGACCTGGGATATTCTATCTACTACCCAAGATCCATAAACCTGGAAATCCTGGGCATCCCATCATCTCAGGCATTGGCACCCTGACAGCAGGACTGTCTGGCTATGTAGACTCCCTCCTCAGGCCCTACGCTACCAGCACTCCCAGCTACCTTCGAGACACCACTGACTTCCTGAGGAAACTACAATTCATCGGTGATCTTCCTGATAACACCATCTTGGCCACTATGAATGTAGAAGCCCTCTACACCAACATTCCACACAAAGATGGACTACAAGCCGTCAAGAACACTATCCCCGATAATGTCACGGCTAACCTGGTGGCTGAACTTTGTGACTTTGTCCTTACCCATAACTTTTTTACATTTGGAAACAATGTATACCTTCAGATCAGCGGCACTGCTATGGGTACCCGCATGGCCCCACAGTCTGCCAACATTTTTATGGCTGACTTAGAACAACACTTCCTCAGCTCTCTTCCCCTAACGCCCCTACTCTACTTGCGCTATATTGATGACATCTTCATCATCTGGACCCATGGAAAAGAAGCCCTTGAGGAATTCCACCATGATTTCAACAATTTCCATCCCGCCATCAACCTCAGCCTGGTCCAGTCCACACAAGAGATCCACTTCCTGGACACTACAGTGCTCATAAACGATGGTCACATAAACACCACCCTATACCCGAAACCTACTGACCGCTATTCCTACCTACATGCCTCCAGCTTTCACCCTGACCACACCACACGATC